AGGAAATAAAATAAAAACATAATGCGTTTTAGTGCAGTAGCATTATGCCTTCTCCTAAATACATATACTCACCATTTTTGTCTTTCAGCAATTTATTGATGATGTTACTAAGATCAGCAATTTCAGAGGCAGCAGGGATTGAGAAGGGAACATCATCTACCGCATATCTATAAAAAGGAAATTATGTCAAGATCAAGTCTACATATATTTTAACAAATGTGCACTTATTCATTCAACAAATATTGACTGGGTACCTACTACGTGCCAGACATTTTGCTACATGGAGTAAACAAAAATGAATTAAGACACGTTCTCTGTTTTCAAAAGAGGTTAAAGTCTGGTAATCAAACACAACGAAGCTATGTAAGAAAAAGTCATAAGTAATACGTATAGAAAACAAAAGAGTAATAGGTCATTTCGACCAGACAAAAGGAGGGCAGACAAGCAGGGTCTGAAAGGATACACTAAAAAAATAATTCTTAAGCTATATCTACAAAAGTTAGTTTTTGCCAGGTAAAGGAGGGCAAGGCAAGAAGAAGAGGCGTGGAAATGCAAGGAGAGTATCAAAATAGCTAGGTGTTGTTAAGCTACCCACCCAGCCTTTCCAGAAAGTATGATTTTGCTCTAGACAGTAACCAATGATAAGGCTAAAGAGATGTACATGGGTGCTTTATATAATATGAAATAGTTTTTACTTCCTTTTGTGGGCAATGAAGAACTACTGTAGCAGTCCAAGTTAGAAATAACATCAGGCTGGGTGGGCACGGTGGCTCACGCCTGTAATCCTAGCACTCTGGGAGGCTGAGGTGGGAGGATCGCTTGATATCAGGAATTCCAGACCAGTCTCAGCAAAAGTGAGACCCGAGACACTGTCTCTACTAAAAATAGAAAAAATCAGCCAGGAGTGGTGAAGTGCGCATGTAGTCCCAGCTACTCAGGAGGCTAAGGCAGAAAGGATCACGTGAGTCCAGGAGTTTGAGGTTCCTGTGAACTAGGCTGACGCTATGGCATTCTAGCCCGGGCGACAGAGCAAGACTCTTGTGTCTCTCCATCACTCAAAAAACAGAAAAGAAAAAAAAGAAATAACATCATCAGAATTTTGTTTAGTTAGATCTTTTTTGCTATGTAATTGAGACGTTAGAGGAACACGACATCAAGGCAGATTAGGAGACCCTTATAAGAAAAAATGTAAGAAAATATTTGCAAATCATATATCTAATAAGGAACTTGTATCTAGAATATATTAAGAACACTATGACTCAATAATAAAAGGCAAGAAAATTTTTAAAATGGGCAAAAGATCTGAATAGACAGCTCACCAGAGAAGACAAAGATTGTCAACAGGTACATGAAAAGATGTTCATCATTAGTCAACAGGGAAACACAAATCAAAACACAATGAAATATCACTTCATACCCACTAGGGTGGCTATAATAAAAAAGATAATAGCAAGTGTTGGTGAAGGTAAGGAGAAACTGGAACCCTCATGCATTGCTGGTGGTCATGTAAAATGGTGCAGTTGCTTTGGAAAACAGCCTATTACCATCTGACCCAAGAATTCCACTTCTAAGTATATATACAAGAGAAATGAAAACGTATGTTCACACAAAAACTCACACAGGTCCATATAATCACTATTTATAATAGCTAAAAGGTAGAAAAAATCCAAATGTCCATCAACTGACAAACAGAAAAATGTGCTATATCCATACAATGGAATATTATTTGATCATAAAAGAAAATGAAGTACTAATACATGTTGCAGCATGAATGAACCATAAAAATATCATAATATAAGTGCAGAAAGCCAGTCACACAAGACCACATTCCTTTTATACAAAATGTCCAGCAGAGACAAATCTACAGAGACAGAAAATAGATCAGTGGTTACCTAGGGCTGGAAGTATTAAAGGGATTGAGTGGTGATAGCTAAAGGGCAATGAGAAATGTTCTAGTAATGACTGTGGTGATGGTTGCACAACTCTGCAAATATGATCCTGCTGGTCCTCAAACTACACTTTTAGTAGTAAGACTACATCTATATTTACCATGTCCCCCCCAAAAAAGTAAGTAGTTATTTAGGTTCTCCTAAAGGTCACAAAACCTAGAAACTAAAATTTTTGCTTCTTCCTTTAACTTAATATTTTGGTCAGTAAAACATGGGGATAGGAGAACTAACAAAATTCTCTCTTACACACATGAATATACACATATATGTCAATTACATACATAGACATGTGTATAATACTACTTTCCAACCCTCATTTTACTGACCAAACACATTAAGTGAAAGAAGCAGCAAGAACTTTAATTTCTAGGTTTTGTTACCTTTTGGAGGACCTAAATACATACACACATACATCTATCTGTTCATTTCAGGGGTTAAAATACAATGGTCTATTATCTCTTAAAATTTCATGTGACTCAACAGTTATCTCAATAAAAATTTCAACTAAAAAATATAGTGGTTATGCTACTGCATCACCACGTTCCTTGAAAAATATTAAGGCTAAGTATATAAGTATATATACTCATTTGCATTGATAATATGATTTATGGGCTTAGTGTGGTGGCTCATGTCTGTAATCCCAGCACTTTTGGAGCCAAGGCAGGAGAATCACTTCAGCCCAGGAGTTCAAGATCAGCCTGGGCAACACAGTGAGACCCTATCTCTACCAAAAAAAAAAAAATGAAAGAAAGAAAAAGTTAGTGGGCACGGTGGTGCCAGCTGGTAGTCCCAGCTACCACTGGGTAGGCTGAGGTGGAAGGATCCCTTGAGCCCATGAATTTGAGGCTACACTGATTTATGATCAGCCCACTGCACTCCAGACTGGGCAACAGAGCAGAGAACCGTCTCTAGGGAAAACAAAAAACAAAAAAACTATAACTGTATGATTTCTGTATTCTATAAGCAACAATATAAGAGCAGTGAATATGACTTACCAGGTCTGCTCATAAAGCTACAGACAAAATCAAAGGTATAATCTTAATTCAGATGGAAGTTTTCTTCTTTGTGGCTGACATTAGCTTGTTAATACAACAAATATTTATTATCATTAGCATCAGAAAAACCTGACACTGTTGACTCAGTCAATCCAAGAAGCTTAATACACAGTCCCGGCCATTAAGAGACTTACAATATAGTTGAAGCGATCAAACACAAAGAAAATTAATAGTGCAATATATACCACCAGGCAGCATATAATTAGGTTTAAAATGAGTGCTACAGACCTTAGGACCATTGGTAAAAATTTTTATATATATATGTATACGTACACACTAATAATTGTTAAGTATGTTTATGTTTGCATATAAATGGCTTGTTTATGTACAAATACGTGATAATATAATGCATTTATATTTATATAACATAATATACATGTATACACAAAAATATTCAAATCTGTAACTGCATTGACTTCATACTCTTAGCAAAAACCAATTCTACCAACCCCCTATTCAGAGCTCCACTTTGTAACATGGTTTAGAAAAGCATCTTTTATCACCTACTTAAAAAGAAAATGAAGTGTTGTCACAAACTGAAACACCACTGAGAGCCTGAATGCCAAGGCCCAATGTTCGTTGTTAAATCATGCATATAATGTGCTTCATTCAGAAAGCAAACTTCAAGCCCTTCAGTCCCCTCCACATTACAATTCAAATTATAAAGGGCCCACAAAGCTGGGCAGAAAGGAGATTTCACAGAACTGCCGGGAGATTTCTGAGAAATCCTCGCAAGGCAGGCTTTCAACTCGAGCGGACAACCAACTCAAGCGAGCAATACAGAAAAAAAAAGGGGGGGAGCGGATAATGGAGAGAGTGAGCTGACGGCAAAGACAACCAGGGGTCCACAAAGCCATATAAAAGGAGTCGTTGGAAAAGACCCTAGGGAAAAGGGGTAGAAGGATGGGACGCTTACTTACTTCTTGTTATCAGTGTAGAAGCGTGTTTGGAGCTGAGCCATGGCAAGGAGTAGACACAGGACTGGTCCACAGAAACGTATGGGTTAGTGGGAGCTCTTGTCTCTTAGGACTACAAAGAGGCAGCTCAAAATTGGACTGCACAGGTAAGCCAAAAGCTACAGTCGAAACCTGGCCTCCACTTTCTTTCCTTGGGTCTTCTCAGCAGAAGGCACCACGAGGCGGCCCTTCCACAGATGCCCAGCCCACACACATCAATTACCTATTTCTAGATTTAGGAATCATCGATTAGGAAAGTATAGTCTTAAAGGCAGTATGCCCCTTTAATCTTTTTTAGATTTCTTCCCATTTAGGCCTGTGATCGATTAGGAGGATACGGAAAGATTAAACTCAAATTAGCTTTTAAAAACAGAAAAAAAATTTGTAAAGAGGCTGTTCTGAGTCCGGATACATCTAACACAGCTCCTAGATACTGCAACCCCCAGAAAGCATCGCTTCTCAGTCGCGGTGACCACTGGGAATTGTAGTCTTTTTGCCACGCTGCCCTCAGGCTATTTTATTTGCGTTAGATCTGACTCCAGCCAGATACCTATTAAGTTTCCTCTGCCTTCAGGTTTGATTTACTAAATCTTTGCCAGATTTCTTTGCTCATTCATATCTCCAACCAGAACCTCATTCGGCCGAGATTTTTCCTGGGTTCTCTGACTCTAGTTTCAGATTTTAGATCCAAGCGAGGGGCGGAAACACGAAAAAAAAGATCGAATCAGAAGGGAAACGGGCGACGGTGGCCGACTGTGGTCCTAATCTCGTGGGACTGCCCTGCGCTCTCCCAGAGGGGTGCGCCTGCGCATTGTGCTGGTCTCCATGGCGGGGCCTCGGAGCCAAGACGAGGTTGAGTAGACTCGTTTTGAATTTTCTCCCCTCTGCTCCGGCGGACTTCCCTCCTCGCCTTGTGGGGCTCTCGGCGGCGGCAGGACTGGGGGAGTCGGAGGTTTGGCAGAGCTGTCTGCGCCCACGGACCGGACGCTACCTCCCAATCCCCCTTTCTTCCTCCTTTCTCCTCCTCCAGTCACCTCCTGACCCACCCGGACTCAAGCAACTGCCGGCCCCCGCCCCCAGGAGCAGCCCGGCACTGGTGGCGGCCTCCGCGTCCCGCCTTGGGGCCTTTTTGGGTCCTACATGGCAAGGCCTACTACCTCCGGCCCGGGAGGGGGCTCGCGGGCCCCGGGGAGGCAGGCTGGAGGAGGAGGAGGTTAGGTGTTTGAAGGAGGGTTGCTGAGCCAGAGGACACGCCACTGCCGCGGAGACGTGCTCGGACCCCTTGGGCGGAGCGCCCATTTGTGGTCCCTCATGTTGCCCAGCACCGCGCTTTTTAGGGTCTTTTTCCCCCTATTCTGAGCCCTTTTATACCTTATGTTTAAAAGGGGGAAAGCACCCTTCCACACTTTGTCCCCCGCTTTTTTTTTTTGTCTTGAAGTTACCCAATGGCTTATGTCTTGTTCTCAGTGGTCCTAAGTATTACTCTAATTCAATATAGTTGTTTTTCGGAGGGAGGATGGATGGAGAGATAACTATCCAGATTCCAAAGTCATTTTTTAAGGCCTTCACCAGAAAAAGCTCCAAGAAAGGGACTTCAAGAAACTGCAGTTTAGAATCAGGCAGAACTGGATTGCAAAATTTATGGGCAGAGCGGTATGTGTGCAGGTGAAGACAACTAAAGCTTTCCTTTTTTACGTTGCGTAAGGATGTACTGCAATTAAGTGGACGCCTAATATTTAAATCAACTGTAGAAATTGAGAAGAGATTTAAACAATTGGAAGCAAAAAATAATCTTTTATTAGAGAGCAATGACAATAAAAGTAGCACTATTTTCAATGTACTCATCTTATAGAATGCGGGGCCCTGGAACCAGAATTTCCTGGCTTCAGATCGTGCCTCTGCTACTTAATTAACCTTTCAGTGCCAGAGGTTAATTAAGTGCCAGTTAACCTCTTTGGTTAACTGTGAGAATAAAATGCCACATAGGAAGTACTCAGTATATGTCAATTATTATTACCATCATAATAGTTATCAATTCAAGCTTAACTAGAAGCTTTGACGGCGTGAACAAATAAGGGAGAATAGCCACGTGGGTGGAAGAAAAAAAAGTCTCTGTGCTGAAGCCCCAGGAAATCTCTTGTTAGAACAGAACTTGCTAATAGAAGCATTGATCATTTGACCATGTGATTCATTGTAATGGTGAGGATTTACACATTAAATAAATTGGGGTACCTGAAGCTTGAAATACTCTCTTAATTGAAGTCTTGCTATTGAATCCATGTTTTTGATAATATATCATTGGTTAAAATATCCTTTAAAAATGTATAGTTAATCATTACTTGAAATTTATCAAAATAAGATATAATACCTAATAGAGTCAATACCGTTTGATCCTAATTTGGATTGAAAAATATCAGGAAAATACAGAACCCGAATATATGCATATTAAGACTCAATTTACAAAGCAGAAATCTTGAATCCACCAAAATATATTTTTCATTTGATCTTTAGTTAAGGAAAAATTAATAAGTATTCCAAAGTAACCGAATACCCAGTATTACGTGTTTGGTATTTTTTCAACAGCAATTTGTGTATCATGCTTGGTGTTGCCTCCAAGCAGTACCTAGGATAGCTAATGCTTTTACTTTGAGTGTTTTTCTTAAGTTTAGTTAGAACGTTAACTGCAAGCGTTTGGTTCTCAGACTTTCTACAAGATTCATTTACTGTGATCCTGAGGGAGACACGTTGTTATCTGGAGAACCACAGTTTGGAAAATATATTTCTCTTTATTATAGTTTCTTTTTTCCTGGATATAATGGCATAGTGTAATATGGTATAAAGACTATGCATGGGCTTTGGAGTCCTAATTGTTTTTTGTGTTTTTTTCCTACTTAGTTTTGAATCTGAACCTAATGTTCTCTGTGATCCTAAGCAAGTTACTTGACAGTTTCAGTTTTCTTATCTGTAGAGATAAAAACATCTACTTCAGAGTCATTGCAAGGATTAAATGAAATAATTTGTAAAGCTCTCAATTAAAGAGCAAAGAGGTAAAAAAGTTTGTGTGCAGGGCAAGAAATGGGTAGAAACCAAGATTACAGGGAAGCGTATAGAGAGGACAAACCTTAAGAGAGAGTAGAGACTGAATACCAGCCTTAGATTTTTTTTTCCCTGAAAAATAAAAAGTTAATATGTTATTGTTTACATATATTTGCATGCATTTAAATTTTTGATGTTAATTTAGCACATAACTTTCAAAATCCGTCTTTAAAAAAGTAAATTATCCTATTAAAATATTTGCAAATTAGGAGTCTTGATTTAATTTTTGACACCACTAATTCATAGTAATTTTGCACATATAAAAGGGACATTATGTCATTTACCTACTTCTGAAAGATGAGGGAAATTTTATTTTCTAAAGTACTTTTGAGCAGTATTTTTTAATGTAGTTAATATGTAGTTAAGATCTGACACTGATGCTGAATAGATTTCAAGATGCTTTAAATTTTGGAACATTAACCAAGGTACCTAGAATTAAAAGAAACTCTAAGACTAAACTTCAAGTGGCTTCATTCTTCAATTATCCTGTTTGGGGATTTATCCTTAGATTACTGGTTTTAACATACATATTTTAATATCCAGAAGTCTATGAGTAAAAATCAGATGTTGACAGTTTTTTAGAAATTACACCTGAGAAATTACCTCTAAAGGCTTGAACAAACAGAATTGCTATTGAACAAAACCAAAATAGCAATAGCCAAGTATGGTCCTTTTATAGAGATACAAATGATGACAGCCTGATTAGTCTCTGCTATGCATTCACTACATATAAATAATAAAAAGTCCTTTCTGCCTGTAAATAAAAACTGAACTAATTTTATAGGTTCTAATTTTTACTTTTGATATGTGATAAATCTACTTTTTAAATGTGATATGAAACATTCTAGAATGCAATTTGCCAGCGAAATCTAATGACTCAGTGTGTTTTCTGAGGTCCAATCATTTATATTAACTGTTTAGATTCCATATTTAATACTTCATTTCTGCTCTCTTTATCCCGTCCTAATATGTCTTGCTTAAGAAATCAGCTTGTCAATTCTAGAATTTGGAAGGGGAAAATGAGGAAGGGGACCTTTATTTTCAAGCTTCTTGTGGCTCCAAAAGATGCCCTATTGGCAAATATTTTCATTGAGGAAAACATGTAATTTGCTGCAGAGGTATTTGTTTTAGTGGTAATCATAGAATGAGAGAGTTTAAACCTTAGTTCAGATCCCTAGTTTTACATAAGGAAATAGGCACAGAGAGGTTAAGTCACCTACACCAGAACACCTGCCAGTTGTCTGTAAAGTCAGTCCTGGTTTTTAGTTCTCTTCAACTTAGTCAATTGATGGTTCTACCATACCAGGCTGGTAATGGTTATTTTTAAATAAAACCTAAATAATGAAATCTAATAGTTTTCTTTATGTGTAGGAAAATAAAATATACATTGAATACCTTCTCATTACAGAGAAAATGCTGCTGTGAAGACACAGTTATAGCTTTCACACAAATGAAGCTACAACTATCATGATTTGGTGCCCCAGAAAGGAAGAACTGCAGTGGACAAGAAAGGGCATTTCTGGGGGTAGTAGAATGCTTGAGGCCTGGAATTTAAACTTGAGCCACTGCCTGAAGGTAATAATTTTATTTTTAACTAATTGAAAGTAATAGTTTTATTTAAAAAGTTGACTATTGTCTATTAGTTAACATATTAATAAAAAAGTCAAATTACACTTTGTATATGGGTATTTTGTTCTATTTATGGTTACCAGGAGGAAAAGAACATTTAGTTATTTAATATTAATATCTTTATTCTTAAGAATTTTACTTTGACAGAGTTGGAACTTAGGGATAATAATTTATAGCTTGTACTGACATTGAGGATAGGTGAGAAAGTTGGGTATTTTAAGTTACCCTGCAGTTGTCAGGATTGAAGAATTGATGGAAGAAAAGAGGGAGGAAGGAGTAACACTTTTTACTGCATTCAAGTTATTTTTTAAAGGGTGTCTGCAACTTTGAAGTGTACTTTTAATCTCCATTTCAACAATGGGTTAGGTCAGTAGTCATTAAAACCCACTTTTGAGGCCGGGCGCGGTGGCTCACGCCTGTAATCCTAGCACTCTGGGAGGCCGAGGCGGGTGGATTGTTTGAGCTCAGGAGTTCAAAACCAGCCTGAGCAAGAGCGAGACCCCGTCTCTACTAAAAATAGAAAGAAGTTAATCGGACAACTAAAAATATATAGAAAAAATTAGCTGGGCATGGTGGCGCATGCCTGTAGTCCCAGCTACTTGGGAGG